GCAACCTCAGCATTCGGAGAACTTTTACAGACTGGAGCATTTCCTGGTTCTTGGACCTCATTCAAAGAGTTCTTATTGCTGTTCTCATTGTGACACAATTCTTCTTGTTCTCTGGACAGCTTCTGCTTTAATCTATGCGATCTGGGTGGCGATTTCTTGGATTTTTGTCCAGCTGCCACAGGTTCATGAGGCACAGACGCCCCTGGTTGAGGTGAAGGCATCTCCATAACTTCACCGTCCAAGGAACTTCTACTGACTGGAGCACTCCTGGGTCCCCTGACTTTATTCAAAGAATCCTTAATGTTATTATCATGGCACAATTCTTCATCCTCTCTAGACTGATTCTTCTTTATTCTATGTGAGCTACGTGAGGATTTCTTTGATCGTCGCCTAGCTCCAACACCAAGGAATGAAGCCAAATCTTTCCTAGCAAGCGAGGCCATCTTTTTGCCTTCCAGGTACTCAGAAATTGCTTGAGAATATGCACAAAAGGGGCAATAGAAGTTTCCTTCATTATCGAAGCTGGGGACAGAACCCAAACAGCTATGATGAACCACCAAAGGGCAGCTGCCTGAACTACAAACCAACAGTTGCCCACCTTCATTACACTTCACACAGAGATTGAGCTCTCTACCCTTTTGAGTTGCTAAGGAATCTTGACCCTGAGTGCATTGAGAGTAGTTAACGAAATCATCTCTCTTTGCTAAAAGGCCAGTCTTCTCATTGTGATATCCATCACTGTCACTAGAGACCTCAGGTTTATCATCTTCCATAGCATTCTTTTTGGCTCCTTTAGAAGGTTCATCTTTGAATAAATCTCCCCGAATGCACTCCCGATGTTCTTCAGTTCCATGAATGCGAGAATCTTGATGAACTACCTGCTGTGATGAGCCACTTGATGTTCTCAATTGAGCAGAAGGTTTGCTGCTACTTCCAACATTTTGAATCTTTTCCTCAGAAATCACTTTTTGAGGCAAGAGCTCATCATGACCAATGCTCTGTCTAACCATATTTGATGCAGCACGCTCACAACTACCATCCAAGCCTCCAACAAGAGCTCTATTTTCCAAGTTCCCTTTTCGGACGATAGCTTGGAGATTTCCAGCAGATAATTCTGCTGAATCTCCATCTCTTTGAGATGATTCAAAATCATGAACTACATTGCACCTGGGACTAATGACTTCCTGTTTAAACTTTTTGGAGGCCTTTACGCAACGATCAGAACTGTCCTTTGATATGGGTTCAGGTTCGCCGTATTCTCCTTCATTAACAGTAAAAGTATCGATTCTCCTCTTAGAAGGCACCAGAGTCCTCGGTTGATTATCTTGCAGGCCACTCTCATTGCCCGGTGAAGGAGGAATTGCATTCTCATTTGGTAAAACATGTTCATGTTGACCATCAGTGCCTCTTACTTCATGACTCTGCTTAATACCATTTAAATCAACAGCATTAAAACGATCTCCATCTCTGGAGTGACTGCCGACCTCCAATCCACTCTTTGCTCTCAAGGATGCACAAAGAGGATTGGTAGTATCTAGCATAGCATCCTTAATCTGATTGTCAATTAAAAACAAAGCAAATCCCAATTCCCAGATAATCAGACAGGTACATTGCAGATGTGCAAACTTATCAAATTCCACATATAAATTAAGATTAGCTTACTTGCTGCAGAGCACATTTTGGCAAGCAAGATCTTTTCTTGGTAATAAATGACTGAACATCCCATTTGGACACCTCAGGCCCAGCGATTTTTTGATCTGATGAGACCTGGTCAAATGTACAGGATGCACATCTAAGCAAGTGAAAAAACAGCATCATTCGAAACTCTCAAGCGGAGAACGGCCTTGTAAAATGAATTACTAAAGTTAAAGAAAAATAATCATTTAATAAACTGAGATACTGAATCATATGATCTAAATTTAATAAGTAAAAGTAAGATACTTACCCCCAAGAATAAGCGACGGAGGACATCTTCAGAGCGCACTGATCGGTCAAATTCAATTTTATCACTGGGAACTGAAGCGACATCACTTGCATTTGACATTTCCTGGACAGAAAAGGTCTCTAAAAATCTCAAAGAGACCAGTTCCCTTACATTTCTCCCCATATCATCTGAAACTTCAGGAGTCTGCTTAACCAAATCTGTTATGCATAAACCAGAAATGTCAAAGCAGCCATTATCTCAGTTAATAAAACAGCTTTTATGTCACAAAGCAGTAGTAATTCAGACATACCGATGAGGAAAGAAGTGTCTATCTCATTGGAACTTGCCAATGTTTCAATCACCCATATCCACGGTAAATTTGACGTGCTAAGCTTGGTATCCATGAAAGACTGTTGGAGTGCTTTCGGGATCATATATTTGATTGTCAGCCTCCTTCACATTTATGTTATCTCAGATAACTGTCTAACGCAAAGATAGATGACACAAAGGTGTCGTAAATAGACAGCACAATCAGAGAATAGTGCACCTACATAAAATTCTTAAATTTACAAAAATGTATGAATAAGACGCATCTAAATCCTTCAACAAGAAGGCCAAACTAAATTGAGGTTCACCAACAAGGGGTATGGTGGAATGGATGGGATCCCTCCATCCTTAATCAGAGGTCTTAGGTTCAAGCCCCGAGAATAGAGGGTATGGCAGTGTTATAAATAGCGCTCGCCTCAGCGCTAATAGCGTGAGGCGAGGAGATGCGAGCAGCCTGCGCTATTTTGGTTCTGTTGCATTGCGATTGTAAAAGGCGAGCGCCTCTGCCTGCGTAGCGAGAGGCGAGCTGTGGCGTTGCTTTTTGAAAATAAAGAAAGAAAAAGGCTTAGATATTTTTAAAAAAAAAGACCAACGACTTAAAACATTAGGGTTGCAGCGATTTCATGTTTCTTTCTTCTTCAACTTTCTAACAACAGAGCAGCCAAGACCACCCAGCCCAGGTAAGCTTCTCTTCTTCTTCGACTTCTTCTTCTTCTTCTTCTTTCTTCTTTCTTCTTTCTCCTTTCTTTCTTTCTTCCTTTTCCTTCTCCTTCTCTTCTTCTTTCTATTTTTTTTGCTCTGTTTTTTGTCAAGCAACAGTGTAGCAAAAAACAAAACAGAGAGTATGTTTATGCTCTGTTTTATTTTTTCGTCTTTCTTCTTCTTCTGATCTTCTCTTTATTTTATTTTTTTGCTCTGTTTTTGATTGAGCAGCAGTACTGCACCCTGTTTTTGCAGAGGCAAAGGCAGAGAACTTCTAACTTCAAACCTGAAATTTCCTCCTTTTTCAGTTATAGAGTAGAATTAATTGCATATTGTGAATTGATATATTTATTAATCTATTATTGTTATTGAGTTTTTAGTTATATATATAATATTTTAGTTTTTTGTATAAATTGTCGCTTCACATAAAAAAGGCGAGCGCTTCGCTGCGCGCCTCTCGCCTCAGTGAAGCGGGCCCTCGTCGCTATTTGTCGCCACACGCTATCCAAAACACTGGGGTATGGAATGGAGATACCCTCTGGTTGGGAGCGCACTCCCTCTTTAACAAATCGTACACTGTGGGAATCTGGATTAGTCGGGCCATTGATTCCGGTGATCAGATGGTTATACAAAAAAAACACTAAATTCAATATCATATGTCTAAGCATTCGTGGATAGAGTTATCCGGTACATGTGCTGGTGGGAGGAAGCAGGTACCCCATTTAAAAGTCAAGGTGCACTTAAGCTGGTTCAGACACCACCGTCATAAAAAAAAGGTATCATCTTTAGGGGGCGGTTTGGAGGAGTCTGCTAGGTAAACACAGCAACATAGTACTTCTCCTCTCAAACACAACCACAATAACATGAACAACCAACCAAAGGATATAACACATTTACTTGATTTCTATGTAAGCCAGCTTTTACCAACAAAATAGATGCAAAAACTAAACTATGGAAATAAAAAATTACTTCAATCTCAACTAGAAATGTTGAAAGTTCCCTAACTTTCGAAAAGGTTTTCGTTACCGGCTTGGAACAATGATACATACTCAACTCACCTTTGCTCAGTAAAATATCCTTATAAGGCTACAACAACAACAACAACAACAACTATTACGCCTCATTCTCAAACAAGTCAGGATTCATATAGCTATTACGCCTCATTCTCAAACAAGTCAGACTATATGAATCCTCACTGACCAGTTTACTCCATTTAATCTCGTCTCATGCCAATATTATGCAAATACAAATAAAAAGTATCAGAGTTTCTGTATATTTTCTAAACGTATAAATCTCTAAAAGGCTAAACCACTCCTAGAAAGCATATGACCTATGGTAAAAGTGCTAACATCTAATACGTATTACACCTATTTCTGTAATAAATTCCTTTTCACCTATGGTTATTAAAAAAAAACACTAAGAACCGCATATGCTTCAACATAAACAAAAACAAAATTCATGTTAATTTCTTTTTTCTTTTGACTGAGGACCCTGAAATAAAAGCTGAATATTTCCAAATTTCCAAAGAGCAAATAGGAAAAAAATAAATAAAGATGAGTACTTTGGAATGCATACCTTAAAAATTGGGGCAACTAATACTTGGTGTTGGAGAGAAACTGAGAGCGGGGAAAGTTGCAGGAGCATAATATTACGAAAGAGTCGGGTCGGGCTCATCGGGTTCGGGTAATTAGGCTCCAGGTTTTGGGAAAACGACACTTGTCCCCCTTGAGATTTGAGAAATTGGAAATACACCCCCGTAATGATGATAGTAAAAATTCGATATTCAATTGTTTTATGTGAAAAGATTTTTACACTAAAAAATTATTAATTTTACCGCTAAATTTACAAAAGTGAGAATAGATGTCACTCGAAATATTTTTTGGATATTAAAAAGATAGAAGGAAAAACTATAATAAGATGTTGCCAAATGCTAAAAGCACACATCATTCCAACACCAAATCAGCTTTTGCAATAGTACTGAAACACTCAGAAAACCCTCTTCCCCTGGCTTTTTGGGGCAGGGGATTTTGTTTTGGGGGAGGGTTTGAAGATTCAGAATACTCAATTCACATACACCATATGTGAATTTTTAATTTTTAATAGTAAAAAGTTAATTATCATTTTTACGAAGTTATCGGTTAATGCTTACTATATATATTTACTTTGTAATTGCTTCGATTTGATTCTTTAAATATTTTAAGCTCTATTTATGCCCATTTTCATTTCTAGCCATATAATGATGTTTCATAGAGAAGCTCAACTTTTGGCCTTCCCCTTGACATTTTCTCTTGAGGCACCTTCTTGGAAATTTGAACTAATGGTAGTTTATGTCCCTCCTCTGTTATAATTTCGGCTATTAAAATCTCTATCGTTAATCAAAGTTCTACATTTGTTCTATTTTTGACGAAATGGGACACGTGGCAGATTTGAACTTAAAAATCTATCCCACAACTGAACTAACCTGTCCTAACCCATGACCCGTCGGATCCCCCCACTCTAAATTAAAAAACCCGATAACCTAATAACCCTCCCCTCATCGTAAATCAACCATTGATAAATCAATAGCGACCAAATTTAGAGTTCTGGTGTTTTCTCTCATCTCTTTTCTTCTTAAACTTATGCGTTAAGGATGTTTAGGTCGTCGAAAGGCATACAATATCGGAGAATAGTTGTTCATCGAAGATGATGTGCAATTGTGGAGAAGTTACCAATCATTTCACTTCGAAAAACTCTCCTAAACCCAGGAAAGACATTCTACAAGTGTCCTAAACTTGAGGTAATTTTTATTTTTTATGTTTGGATATATGTTAATATCCATTATTTCAACAGTTGTTTGAAGTTGTTTGTGTTTCGTTTAGAATGAAGGATGTGGTTTCTGGCAATGGAACGATGAAGAGTTCACTGATGCTGCGTTAATTGCAATAAACAATGTACGATTAGAAGCTGCAAATCGAGAGATTAATATGTTGAATATTTCTTTGGAAGCTCTTAAAGTTGAAAGGGATGGCTTGAACTAAAGGGTTGAAGTATTAGAGGCTATGAATAATTCTGCAGTTAAAAAATCTATGAAATTGGAAGACAAGGTGTTGAAGATGAAGATGTTCAGCATAATTTTAAGTGCCCTAATTGTTGGATTTACTTTCTCGTTTATGAAGTGAATTACTTAGGACAATCTTGTATCTGTAATATTTTTATTTAGTACTAATGGAAATTGTTAGTGACTTTTTTTGGCTAAGTAATGTTTGTATGATTTGGATTCCAACAGTTTACTATTTCAACTGACAATTAGTAGTTCACTCTTTCCAGTAGAATTTGTTATGTTAGTAATATGGGTGACACTTCATGGGAAGAGCACCACGATTAAAGCGAAGAGCAGAATAGGTGAAAACATGGTTAGTAACTTCTCTGTGTGTATCTTATGTAGATCCATACTAGGTTGATACTTTCAACAACATGGCCAAAGAAACTCCAATTCAAATAAATTCAAAATGAGAAGGAAAAAGAAAAAGATGAAGGAAATAAGATTACCCTTGTCATGAAAAATATTCATGGTATAAAATATAAGAATTTTACATACACAGATATCACTTTAGAGGTGATAATACTATCAGACATCGTAGAGCACACATTACCTGTTGCTATGTTGAATATACTCGTCAAAGCTTCAAGGACTGTTAATACTAGTCAAAATAATGCTGCTATAATAGTTATGAAACTGCAAATCTTCAGTTTTTCATATTCCGCAGCTACAAGCCTTAACCAAAAGGCACCATTGCAATATACTGATAACACGCTAATTAAGCGAACAAATCACATAAATTAACAAGTCAGAAGTTTGACAATTACATCAAATCAGAAAAGTGAATGCTATGTTATAACTGCAAAAACTTACACAACCTAACTCATAACATGACATCCACCTCTAAAGTCACACAACCAAAAAATTATAAAGTATTGTCATAATGCAGTAATTACATGCCAAATTAAACCAACACAAACCAAAAGAAAGTGACATAGGACATATCAGATCCCCTTTCTTAGTATTAATTTTTGGACTTTCTGTCTATGTTGCTTCTCTAACTGATCCCCAGTCATTGCAACATTTCCCTTCCATGTCAAATTTTTTGGTAAGTAAGGAAGATCAGTTGGTTCACTGATAAAGGGTGGAATGTGCATGTTTTGAGTGTGTTTGTATGTTATTCCGTGTGTGAGTTGCGAGAGTTCACATCGCTTTTGAAGTAAAAATATGCTCATTACGTGTTTCTTATATGTAGGAACAAACTTGTGCAGAAAAGGATTAAATGGGAGAAAAATTAGTAAAAACAAAGCTGAAGAGAAAAGTCTCGGACAACGAAACGAGGTTCGCTTTGCCAGACCAGGACCAGAGCAGAAAAATTCAACTTTTCTAATCCGAATTAAGAGAAGAAAAATCAGGCCCAACTCAACCCTAAACCATATGAGAGTTAGCCACTTCTTGAAGAGAGAGAAGACTTTAGAGAGGCAAGAACACGCTTGGAGCAAAGAGAAGGATTCAACTTCACGGTTTTTCCTTTTTCTTCCTAATTTTCCATTATTATAAATTCTAATCTTGTATTTGTGCAAACAACAATGAGTAGCTAAGTTCTCATCTAGGGTTTGATGGAACCTATTGAAGGATAATTTTTTCACTGCGTTTAATATAAATTTGCCATTTACTTTTCTCTACTTGTTTACCTATATTATTATTGTTGTTGGTTGAAGGGCCCTCAATTGACTGTGCCTATTTAGTGTGTACTGCTCGAGAGAGAGTACGTATTTAGGTGGTTGTTGAACAACACCACTCCTAACGTATTTGAGGAATCAATACGGAGAGTTTAAATACGGGATTAGAGATAATAAGTTCGAGAGAATATGTCTAGTAAATTGTGGTAGTTACTCGAAAGATGTTATACCCTATATTTTCGTACGTAAAAGTGCGTCGTGAGCAAATTAATGTAGGACCAAAAATGAGATAATCTTTGAAAATATATAAAGTAAGTTAATCATGTTACCTCGCATGTTGCAAATATTGAAGATCATGAACAACAAGTACAAAGAGGGTTGGAAGATTCAGAATCTAAAGGAATTGAAGAATATAATATTTCGTCGAAAGTTGAGAATATTATAACATGTACTTTTGGGGTGAGACTGGGGTGATTAATATAATAAGGAGGTTATGTTATTAGTTATATTAGTCGTATGATAGTCGTGTGTTATGTTTTGAAGTCAAGCGAGTGGTGGAACAAAAGTCAATGAAAGTCATCACAAGTTACGTTCATAAGTTTTACTGAAACTTTGGGTCAAATGTAACTGCGATTTTCTCCCAATATACTTAGAGTTATTAGGTTTTCCACCCATAAAATTGAATATCTATGAGTTTATTTTTTAATGCATTAAACTTTTTGTCAATACGATATCGGAGTAGAGAGATATGGGCATTTTTGCGAGACTGCGCAGACTTTCACCTACTTGCTTAAATGATAATCCAAAAATGGGCCAGTTCGGGTCATCCAAAGAGGCCTTTTTAAAGGCATATTTCCTTTATATATTATACTGATAATAAGGCATAATAACCAGACATAAGCTCTGCAAAAATCCTCCCAAAAATTGCCCACAAATCCTAATTGATTTTCTCTCCCTTTCAAGTTCTAATTGGAATAAAAACCTAAAGTTTGGAGAACCAAGCTAGGAGCTGAGTTATCCAACAAATAAGGTAAGTTTACTGCTCTCTTTCATCCATTATTTTTTGCTGTAAATGCATAGTAAGTCATTCTATATTTGTAAAAACTTACGGGACGGTGATCGGAAGCCGTGAGTTCGAGTTATTCACTTATAGCAGACTGTTTTGTGGACTGTTTTGTGTTGTTGTTGGGCTGCTGTTTTACTACTGTTTTGTGGAGTTTTGGAGGAGTAAGGATGTGGAGAAACACCACATAAATGTAGGGTGGTGGGATGGTCGTTCACTGTAATATTTTCGGACTATTTGACACTACTACGGTGGTCGTTNTATATATATATATATATATATATATATATATATATATATATATATATATATATATATGCAATATTACAGTATTTTCACCACCATCAAGCTATAATCGATGGGTAGGCCCCTATTGGTCAACCTCTGATCAGATGATAAGTTATATACCGAGCCTACTGTAGCCAAGCGCCTATGAGCTAGCACAGGATGGCCGATATACAGAGCCTAGTATGGCCGAGCGCCTATGAGCGAGCCTACTACATCCGAGCAGTTACACATACCGAGCCTTATAGGGCCGAACATTTATTTTACTTACTATATTGAAGGAGTTGAGTCAGTATCAACAGATAAGTATATCTCCAGATCATCTTTGACTCCCAGTTACTTATAATTATTATATTATCAGTTCAGTTTCAGCTTTCAGTTATGTTATTGCCTTACATACTCGGTACATTATTTCGTACTGACGTCCCTTTTATGGGGACGCTGCATTTCATGCATGCAGGTTCAGATAGACAGACAGGTAGACCTCCTCAGTAGGTGTTTCCCGAGTTCAGCCTGATCGGTAAGCTCCACGTCCTTCGGAGTTGCCGGGTCTAGGGTTTCGTGTACATCTTCTGTATGTATGTATATATGTTATGGGTAGGTTGGGGCCCTGTTCCGATCACAATACATCCATCAGTATAGGCTTATAGACATATCCTGGCAGTTAGTGCAGTATGTTGGGCTTGTAGGCCTTGTATATATATTTTGTTGGTTTGTCAGCTGTAGTAGTTATGACGGCCTTGTCGTCCCAGCTTATATTGATGTTTAGTTAGTGCTAGTTTCCATTTAGTTTTATATTTTGCTTCACAAATTGTCTTGAAATGTGTCCATTTGGCCAAATTATGACATTATATGTTCAGAGTCCCTTAGTCATAAGTTGGTACACTAGGTTAGGTGAGGCACCGGGTGCCGGTCTCGCCCCCCATATTTGAGGCATGACAAGAGAGAGCTACTCAAAGTACTCACGATCGGTGGAGAATACTTGGGCGAATTTATAGAAAACGTAGCGGGGGAGATTCCGATAGTAGGGGAAATCAAAACCCTAGACCTTTCCAATCTTGTCTACAATATTTGCTTTGTTAATAATAAAATTACAGCTTTTTAATTACCTTGTTTTTAGTTAGTAAACAATCAACTCATTATTCAATATTTCTGAAGGTTGATTACTTAAATTCTTGCGAAACTAGTGGTTGTGATTAGTAGGTTAATTCCTTGTGGGATTCGACTCTAGATTTGTAAACCGAATTATATTTGCAAGGACCGCTAGACCTCTTAGGAGGCATAATTGGGCATGATCAAATTTTGGCGCCGTTGCCGGGGAATTAACGGTGTTATTAATTACAGCTAGAAGAATTGCTAGGATTCGTAGTTTAGTCAATTTTCTTCACTTTTAATTCATTATATTGAAATTCTAATATTTGTAGTCTTGTGTGTTACAAGTGCATGCCTAGAAACTCCTCAAGAACTGGTGAATTGTTTGAAGCATTACCGGATCCTAAGAAAGCTTTCAAGGCATTAAATCGTTCAAACAAGAAGGACAAATAACAACAAAACCTGACAGAACAGATCAAACTAGATATGGGGGATGTCATAGACAACCAAAACAATGGGAATGACCCCGAACAATTAGGGTGTGGAACCTCTTGTGCTAGAAGCAGCCTTGTATGATTGGGCATAACCCACCGCTGAAAATCTGGTAACCGCAATTGCAGTCCCTCAAATACAATCAGAGTCATTTAAAATCACAAACATGTTACATCTGCTGCAGAACAAGGGACTGTTCTCCGGGTCTTACATTGAAGATCCATATCAGCATCTGAATTTTTTTTGTCAATTTGTGTCACTCAAAGGCAACCGAATATGACACCGGAAGCAATCAGACTGTTATTGTTTCTATTCTCAGTAACTGGAGAAGCTCAGACTTGGCTTAATTCGCTCCCCATAAACTCCATCACCACTTGGGAGGAATTAGTTAAGCAGTTTTTGAACAAGTTCTACCCACCCAATAAGACTGCCAAGTAAGTTGATGAGATATTGAGTTTCAGGCAGAAACTAGCTGAAACACTACAAGAAACGTGGGAGAGGTTCAAAGGTTTTACATGGAATTGGCAGATAACTTAAAGGCCAACGCTGATGCTTCAGCAGGTGGAGCATTTTTGAGCAAATCATTTAGAGAGTGTAAGGTC